CTAATAGAAGTCCGGATCATGATTTTTTCATCAAGTCCTAGACCCGTGCACCTAATACGTAAAATTTACTGATATTTGTATCATCATTTCCTAGTTTGTGGGGCCCAGTAGTAGATAATAAATGAGAGGGGATGCTAAGCTGCCCAGACGTAGGATTTGGTATTGTATGTAATGACATGTAGCGGGTAAGCTAGTTGTAAGTGAATATCTGCTCATAGGTTTTTTATACCAGCTTCTGTCAACGTTTCTAGAGTTTGCTGTGAGTCAAAGCTCTTCGATACATTTGCTATAGTGAGGAACGTCTAAAGGGAATTTCGAAATGTGACATTGCTTGCACTCATACGTATCTGTAGAGATAGTTTATTCCACAGATCAGTGTATCTCACTAAGAAGAAATTCCATTGTTTTATGACTTGCAAGCTTTGTGCATATCAAGTAGCCACCATTACGTGTGGTGTAGACTGCAGTCTTCCATACTTCGTGTGGTACCGTCTGCGTAAATTCGTTACAATGGAACAATGGTATATGACGGGTAAAAAAGCATACACTTAACGAGTCCCGCAGGTTGGCAATAGAAATACTAACAAATTGGCAAACCACATAAGTGGTTGAAGTAAGGAGTGTCAGTGAGATAAAAGGTAGAAGTATAACAGTTTTAGGGGGATAAAGTGGTACGACGCAAAACTGGCTAAGAAATTGTTATCGTTGGTGATGGTAGCAAATAAAAATGGAGTACTCACCGGTTCGCACAGATTTACGACCGTGAATTTGGGGTATAAATCCAAAGAGGCTGGTCAGCCTAAATATATACAAGCGTTTTCGTTCATAAAACAAAGCGCAGGGCGCTCAGTGCGACGTCCAATCGTTTTTTAAACGTATCTAATGTGGGGGCACAAACAACTGAGTTTGGAAGGGCGTTCCAGGGCCCGCAGACCCGGAGGGAGAAATAGGTTCTCCGACAGTCTAGACGACTGTACTGTTGGCTCAGCTTTAAACTGTTACCGCGAAGGTTAGTGTTCGGGCTGAGCTTCAAGAGGTGGCGGCATACGTGACTGGGATCGCTCAATATCTGGTACACTAGTATGAGGTCTCCACGAAGTCGCCGGTACCGTCCGCTGAACACTCCGAGTATCTCCAGTCGTTCCTGGTAAGGAGTGTGGCGCAAGCCCTTGACGATTTTCGTTGCTCGACGCTGTGGGGTCTCAAGCGCTGCAAGGTCACGTTTTAGCCAGGGTTGCCAGGCCTGGATTGCATATTCGACGTGAGGACGCACGTAGGCATTCAGCATCAAAGAGAAGATGGATGGATCCGAAATTCCGAATGCTCTTCGCAGGAGTCCAACGTGCTGGTTGCCCCTTTTAGAAGCGGAATCTGACTGTTTGGAACACCCGAGGTCTTCCTGTACCAGCACACCCAAGTCGCGTTCCTGAGTGGTGGTCTTCAGATCGTGTGCCCCAAGCTTGTAGACGTGGACTTGTCGATGGCGGATATGAACAACGCGACATTTGTTCACATTAAACGGCAGGGCGTTTCTCACCGACCAATTCCAGGCCTCATTCAAGTCACGCTGTAGGACTTCATGGTCGTCCGATCGTTTTATCGCCCGCCAAACCTTGAGGTCGTCCGCGAAGAGTAAGAATTTCGACGTAATAACTCTTACTAGATCGTTAATGAAAAGCAGGAACAAACGAGGCCCAAGTACCGAACCCTGCGGTACGCCGCATCCCACTCGAATCGGATCGGAAAAGGATGATCGAACTCTAACTTCTAACTGCCGTTCAGAGAGAAAGTTACCGATCCATCCTAACAACGGGTCTCCGATACCGTACTGTTGGAGTTTAATGAGCAGGATTCGATGATCCAGGCGATCGAAGGCTTTCGAAAAGTCCAAGAATGCAACATCGACTCCTGTTCCCTCATCGACAGTCTCGGTCCAGTTGTCACGAGCTATCAGCAGATTCGTCGTACATGAACGATGTTGACGAAACCCATGCTGTTCTGGCGCAATTATGCCGTAGTTTTCCAAGTATCCCATTAACGCATCTGCTATCACCGCTTCCATGACTTTGGCGATCACAGGCAGAAGCGTTACGGGGCGGTAATTGACAGGATCCGATCGACTTCCTGCTTTGTATATGGGCGTTATTACACCTTGTTTCCACCTCGAAGGTACGATGTTCTCATCGAAACAGCGCTGAAAAATGCAGCTAGTGGTTCGGCCAAGTGGATGGCAGCTACCTGTAATGTTTTCGGGTGAATGTTATCGGCCCCGGGAGAGCTGTGTGGACGCAAGGATAGCAGCTTTTGCAGCACCATTTCTGCAGTGAACGTGACGTTGGATAAAACGGACGGTGGGGTAACTAGTGGCGGAATATACGTCGAGGCTTGTACACCTTGGAAGATTGGGGAGTACTGGGCCCGTAATGCGTTGGCCGCCTCTTTCGCAGTATGTGTATACCCATTGGTCGTATTAAGTGGTGGGATTCCCCGTTGCACCTTGCGAAGTCCATTCACATGTTTGTAAAGAAGCTTTTTGTTCGAACAGAATCGTTTGGCTAGCTCCTGCTGATGCGTTCTCTTGTCTTCGCGAACCAAAAGCACACAGTAGTTGCGATGCGAAACGTATTCCGTCCAGTTTTCTGCGCTGGGGTTGCTTTTATACGTGCGCCATGCCCGATCCCTTAGAGTCATGCATTTTCGCGTCCGGCTTCGCAAGAATGATTTCGCTGTGCGGGGATGTTGGGAAACTTTTGGTGTTGAGGCTTCTATGACTAGTGACGTGATGGTGTTCGCAAATGTCTCCCAGGCTAGTTCTGGGGTGCAGTTAGCTAGAAACGTCCAACTGGTATTCTCAACTAGAGCAGACAGAACGTGGTAATGGATAACAGATTGCCTCGTTTCGAGCTCCGCAGCTGGATATTCGGCGTAGCAGATGTAATCGAACTGCAAAGTCACGTGATCGCTACGGCCCAAAGGACTGCACACCTTTAGTCCATCGACCATGAGCTCTTCGTTAGTGAGCACTAGATCTAATATCGATGGGTTGTTTCCTGTTCTGAACCTGGTTGGAACGGTGACGTGGTTATACAAGAAGGTGCTAGAGAGTAGCTCTTGCAAATATGCCTTGAACACTTCTGTCTCGGATGCTGGATTTTCCAAGTCATGGGTGTTGAAATCTCCTGCAACGAGGATGTGGCTGTACTTCTGATTAAGCACGGAGCGAAAAGCGGAGATAAGTCTGTTGTCCCTTTCCGGAGTGGATTTCGGTGGTCGGTAAACCACAGAGAGAAGGCATACGTCGTTGCGTTCCAACCACAGTTTGCACCAAAGGACGTCGGTGACACAAGTCTGGGGATCGTCTATGAGCTCACAACGAAGGTTCGTTCGGAAATAAATGAGCACGCCACCGCCCTTGCCCGTTCTGTCGTTCCGGAGAAGTGACATACCCGGTATGGCAATCTCAGCGTCTGTGATTTCGCCGCTCAGCCAGGTTTCGGCGATCATTATGATGTCTCGAGGCTCCGAAGCCAAACGGTGACGGAGTTCTACCAACTTACTTATGAGGCCTTGTGCATTAGTATACATGCAGGATAGTGCTTTTGTAACCAAGAGTGAGCTAGCACAGGTTGTGGTAGAAATGGAGTTTGTGCCGACCGTTAACGGGTCGGCCATTAACCGTTTTTTTGTGGTGACGTTTGCCTTTGAGTTTGCTTTCGGTTAGACGACTGATCGCGGCCTTCCGGGCCCTGCTGGTCCCCCGTGTTCAGCCGTGTTTCGTGGGATATTGCGGTTGTCGATAAATCCATGCCTTCACAAAGTTGCATGAGTGGATGGTTCAACAATTTGATCGCTCCCCGTGAGTCGTTGGTAATCCGTGGCAGCGTACCTGATGCCTTTAACCGAATTTCCGCTGGCAGCTTCATGCGGAATTTGGACCAGTTTTCCAAGGCGAGCGGTAACATAAACTCAGATTGAAGCACCACCTTCATAAGTCTGGGACCGTTCCCTTTGTAGTTGGGTGAAAATGGAATCCTGGTCAACCGCTTAGCGATGATATTATTGAGGGAGATTTCGTGGCGGATGTAACTCCATTGCTCCCGGTCATGTGCATCCGCTGCATCAGAGGTTGAGTTTTGGAGCTCAGGAACCCCGTACACAATTATCGTCCGTTTCGCCTCGGCTTTACGAACTTCCTCACGGTTGCTCATCTTTTTCGGACGTTCGTTCCAGGGGATATCAGGAAGTATGCGCGCCTCGAGTGATGAATGACGAAGCCTGTTGGACGATAGTAGAACTGCCTCTGTGTCCTTGGTGGAGTTTAGTGTCACCCGGAGAAGTCGGGGTTCACCGTAGTGCGCTGAATTTGGATGACGTGTGACTCGTCTCAGCATTGCAGGTTCAACCGAAATGCCAATCGCAGTACATATAGACTTCCACTGATTACGATCATCCAACAGCTTCCCCTTTATTGTACTCGCCTGTGATTCAGGAACATTTGTACACACAACGGTTAACGCGCCTTGGCTCCTTGCGTTGGATGCAGATTTGCCATGACTTAAAGACACGGTGTTAAACGGATTGTTTGGTTGTTGGAGTCTGGTCAACTTACTGTTGCTTGGTGAGGCCACCGGAGTCGGAGGTAATTTAGCCGGTGTATGCATTGAGGCGACTGAGGCGTACGACGCCCGACTTTTCTCTACGGCGGAAGAGGTTTGCCCCGGAGCTTCCGCGGTTGCTGTTGAATGGAGGTGGGGCGTGTGACTCAAAGGTGTGGACATCAGTACTCTGGATGTTCGTCCGCTTTTGGGAGTTGAGTGAGGCAGGGGATTTGGAGAAACTGAGGCTGCAGCGCGGCTTGAGCGTCTAGCCCTTTTTTCGGCCTCGAGGTGGAGCTTTCTTTGACCGACTGTGGTACAATCATGGCCATATTCGCGGCCGGTGGTGCAAGCCTGGCGTTCAACAAATAAGCGATTGTCGCATTCAAAGTATCGCACCTTTCCATGAGTGCACATAAACAACCGACCACTGGAGTTAACTGGCAAGTTGGACAAAACCAAAATGCGTCAGCTGCCTTGTTTATTTGCCTTGCTTCTTGGGCGGACTTTCCTATACAGCTCGGGTGGAACGAGCCACTGCAGTTTCGGCACGTTATACCCATTTTAAGGGCTTTGCCGCAATTAGCTGAAGAGCAGATACGTCGTTGCATGATATTCGGCATAGTTGTTGTATTTTTTCAAGCACGAGGACAAGACCTGATGTCGATCACAAATTCCAAAATGACGGGCACAGCAGTAAATCACTGAGATCTCCGAAGATATCAAGCGGAATTCCACGAAACTTTCACGGATTGATGAACACACGAAACTAAAAAGTTTGGTGCACAACTAACACAGCAACACACGTAAAATACAGTAATTCCAGAGAAAAAGCAGGATCCAGCGCGTGGTAGCAGAAAATTCCGCGGCGTCCGTGGGTACAGCCAAGTAAATCCTGGCAGTGTCTGTAGCCCACTTGTGACTGTTGATGTTTGCGTAGCAGCGAAGTGTCGACACGGCGTACCAGAGTTGGTTGGCTTATGCGATAATCGATTTGGCATTTGGGTAACATCATGATGCAAGTGTTGGCAATTGAATACGGCGAGATCTGTTTCAGCACGATTACAGGCTCTAGATTCGAGTGCTCTACGGGCACCCTTATAAATGCACTCGTCAGTTGTACTCTAAATTGGTATATCGGTGGATCCGTCGAAATAACAAGCTGTGCATATTTTGCCAACTGTGACTTTCTGACGTACGAAATGAGATTAGCTTCCAGGCGGACCTAATCGAAGACCACCTATTAGTGGGATCACAATTTCCACTAGGGAAGGGAATAGCGGGTGTGCTCGCCTAACGGCCATTACGTGCCGTGGTGTTGCTTAGGCATCACTCCTCAACGGGTCAACAATGTAACACCGTCCAGTCAAACGCCATGATTAATATTCTGACAACGGATTAGATATTTCAAAAAATGATTGAGCATGAAAAACAAGAGTTTGATAAAATAGGCATACCGCACAAGTCCAGGTACCAATAGACGGATAAAATTTTGGCACTCCATTCTTCAATGAAAGACAATACGATATTTTTCCTTCCAGCATACCGCTTATCTACTGATCGTTTAAACTCTAAGTACTGCAACATGAAATAATGGGCGAGCCATGGCTTACTGCAGCCAAAAGCCTTCGTAAACTCTAAAATTTACCTTCACGAGCCAAATGACATCAGCCCATGTCAAGGCGATACCACCTGCAGTGGATCCATCGTTCTCAGTTGCATCGGTGTTGTCATGGGTCCTTGACCCTGAAGCAGGACCATCGGACTTCGCCACTCGATAAGTCCCATCTTGCTTGCATATGACTCCCAGGAGCGCAACCACAAACACCGCGATCCGCCGAAACAAAACATCGGTCCACAGATTTGTAATGGCACATCGCCATTGTAACGTAGACATTCGCTTAGTGTCAATGGTCAGTTCGACTGCGTTCGGGTTATCCCACACTGTTTTGTGACACATAGCTGACCAGGCTCGTTTCACAGCTTCCAAATCGCAATGCTTTTCCAGATTGGCTTGGAGCGACACCGATTTTGACGATGGAACTTCGGACACTAAAGGTTGCTGGTGTAGCGGGGATTCGCTGCAAGGGCAATCACCTGTAGCACGTCGGAGAAAAGACCAAAATCGAGCAGAGTGCTTAGGTTACAAAATTTCTCTAAACGTCGTGTGAGTGAAATAAAAGTGAGCAAATTATATTTCTGACCCTGGCTGATAATATGCTTGCTGCCCATGTAAATGTCTGGGGATGGAACACGTCAGCTAGAAACAGCAGTTTATCATGGATAAAAGTGTTGTACTAAACCGGGACTAATTTATGCTAATTCAAAAAGGCAAAACCAAGGAGGAACTGTCTCATGAAGGTGAAAAATGGTTTAAACGGTGCATCTACCACAGTGCACAATCAGAACCGGCCTCCATGTTAAAAAAGAAACCTTGAACTGGTCAAACTGTTGTGTCTCATTAGTGAACCATGAACAATGTTTTACCACGGGTAAAATAGCACGTGCTTGACAAGTCCCATGGGATGATAGGCGTGAGAAGTACAAAGTCATGAGATATGTGAATTGTCAGTAAAAGCGCTTACCGACTCAAGTGCGCTGCTGCATAACGATAGAGTGAAATGAGAATTGAGTACAAGCAGCGTTTCGACCAGTTCCAGCGAGGACTTATGTGATGGTGCGACAGCCGTCAAGTGGAATGTACGCGGTTGCTTCCAAAAATCAGTATACGCAAACCACAGATGAACTAATTACTACTGCTTTCTTTTGTTTTGTACGTTTCAACAGCCCTTTACCACATCTTACGCGAGGACAGGGAACTGGTACCAGTCTACGTACTAGTCTCAATGACTGTCCAGCTACTTAAGTGAGGATTGTTTCCGTAAGCTGCATCATCAGTGCATAAGGAAGAGAGCGAAATGGAGCTCACCAGCTCTAAAGGCGTTTCACCAATGCCTAACATGACACTTCGCATTATATCACTAGTTTTTCTTTTGGGTTGGTTGTCCGTAATGTTTAGTATCTTATCGGTTTGTATTGCGGCACATTATCTGGGGAGTGTTTCTCACCCTCAGCTAACGTGTATTGATGATGACAATGATCTATGGTTATTGCCGCCATCCCCTTGGACACACTACAGCGTGTGTGGGGTAGGGCATTCCGTATATAGCTGGCATTTTGTGCTTGCCATTTGCACGTGCGTTGGTGTGTACGAATCGCCCTAATTACAGTCGAGAATCTTAGAACGGACTCGTGATTAAGTCGCAGTAGGTAACAGAAGGTGGCGCACACAATTGTGCTGTGCCAAGTGACATTGAACTTGATGAGACCTTCGATTTATACCATGCCTTAAAATTACAGTTAAGGAAAATATTAACATATATTCCTAAAGAGAATTTTTAAGGTTTTTTATTTTTCCTTCATCCATTGGGTTTGAGATTAGTGCTTTACAGCTTGCGCTCGTGATATTTTGTGCTCCGATGGTGGACCCATGGAAAGGACGTGCTACCGCGTACAAAGTTGCTGTGTGCGAGAGAAACTGAACACCCGCGAGGAAAGCACCGCGTCAACTGACCAATCGTATCACTTCCAGGCACACCCATTTACCGTCTGACACAAGAACTATGGAGGCGTCTCAAGCACCTTATCAATAGACCGCCACATTTCACAAACGATGTCCAACAATTCTTAACAAAGCTCAGAGACCTACGAATAGACCACGATGAAACGATGGTGTCTTTCGATGTAACTGTCTTATTCACTTCCAACAACTTACAGCTGACCAACGGATTTATCGCAGTACGTCTGGACAACAGTGGAGAGAAAATCGAAAAGATGACAACCAGAAGCATTTGCGAACTTCTCCCCTTTTGTCTCTCAACTTACTTTGCGTTCAACTGAAAAAGTTATAAACAGGTGAAAGCCGCACCTATGGGATTCCTCGTATCCGGACTTATCGCGCAGACTGCTATGCAAGAATTGGAAAAGGATCTACTACCATTGATTAATCTAAAACTTTGGGTTCGCTACGTCGATGATGCATTTGTGATCCTCAAACGCAGTCAACTTTCGATTGCACAACAACTGCTTAACGACGCTATGGACGGACGGCATCGAATTAACCATGGAATCAGAGAAAGAAAACAAACCCTGTCCTGGATGTGTTAGGAACCAGAAAATGAACGGTGCATTGCAAATATCGGTTTGTAGAAAAAGCATACACACAAATCAGACGCTGAGCTGCAACAGCAACCATCCCATATGTCCCAGCTTTGTACACACACACTGTTCCGCAGAACAACAACTCACTGAGGTACGACGGAAGCAAAACGAGCAGAAGAAAAGCACCTGTACAAGTTATTTGGACGAAACGAATACCAACGCATTTTCCTCCGATGGTATCTAATCACGAGCCGACAAGAAAACGAACGTACATCTGTAACGAAAAGTATAGTTCTGCCCTACATAAAGTACATGTCTGAAATGACTGCCAGATTGTTCACACAACATGATATCATGGTATCCCACAAGTCAGCCCCAACCCTATGGAAAACATTTTCAAGACCAGAAGGAAGAGGAGAAACGCAAGAACGACGGAATGTAGTCTATAAAATAACTTGAAAAAGGAAGGAACTTCTCGAGATGGATACAAGAACACAGAGGAGCGTGCGCGAAACATCAAACGACCTTACTGGTTGAAGCAGTACACAGCTTCGACTGGAACAAATCGAGATGCTGATCCAAGGGAAAAAGTAAAAAGGCAAGGGGGTTTCTGGGAGAGTAGCGGTCAATCACGAACTCAATCAATATGCATTTGGATATTGATCCAGTATACAAACTACTGGGACAGAGGGAGTACAAAAGATGAAAAACCTATGTTCAAGAGAAGCCAGTCCAACACTCAGAGAATGAACAAAACGATTAAAGTGAGTCCAAACTGCTCACCTACGCCCATTGCATCAATCCGCCTGCAACATTCCAGACCACGCCGCAGCAAGAATTGGGTAGCCAATGATATTGACTTCAGCACTCTCACAGAACACAATGAGTCACCCATTAAAATGAGGTGAACTTAATAGCCCCGTGTGCCTACATAAGGAACGACGTAGTGGCTGTCAGTATCCATAATTGGGTTTGCCTTCTACCGGATCCTGCTACCTGACGGCTATCAATCCCACAATGACGATGTCACCTCAACTGGTAACGAAACACCACAAATACTGAAGGGTTCACTACTCTTTACAGAGCATCAGCTTGAAATTACGCGGGATATCTGGAGCCCAGTTGGTATTTAGGGCGTTGTTGATATAGTTGCTCGTAATTATCTTCCTAACCAAATGGGACAATCACCAAACTGGGAAAGTACTTGACGGCCGTTTCATCCTTTTGGGACTTGTCACTGGTGCGCATTCCCAAATTACGATGAACTTAATACCTCTCGCCAGATTCCTCTACCCTTGAGCAGTTGCTGAGCTGTTCTCACAGCTGAGCAATTTTATTGCGAATGTTTCGTCGCCAATCGATATGACATGTTCGGTATGTGCAAGTAGTGGCTGAACTTCAGGCAACTCCAGGATGTGAAGGGTTACAGGACCGACCTTTACATACAATTCAGGCGTTAATAACTGAGTTTCACCTTGGTTTGGCTCACTGTTATGGTAGTCAGTGATTTTTGTCAAGTTATGGTTTCCAATCCTACCAATTTTTTT